CATCAAACTGGGGTTGATAAACTGTGTGATTGGTTTATGAAGGTGGGTTACCCCCAGAAGTGGCAATATACTATTTAAACAACAATCTTTGAGACGCCACGGTTGACATAACAGTGAATCATTTGACCGACCGTAAAGAATTGTGATTTGCACGTTTCAATCATGAAAAATTACCAGCATGCAGAACATATCTGGCTGTACCCAGGAAAACTGGAAATTCGCTATTGGGGATTCTGATTTGTTTCCGATGGTCAGTACGTCAGCGAACTCCAGACAATTTAATCTGGTCATGGAACATACCCCATTTACATTGGGAAACTGGTGGTATCTGGTGGTTTGCTAATACCGGGTTGACCTGAGTTGATTGACGCACGCAATGGATTTGTTTTAAGGAAACATATGCAGAACACCCCAATTTTATGGTGAAAACAATGGTTTGCTCTGGATGTTCCCTTAAATCAATCACATGATTAACATCCTCCAATTTTGACAGAACACATCCCAAATTGCCAAGTAACTTGGATGAGAGTTCTGCATTCGCCTGGCGATGAAGAAATAAATTGACTGAAGAAGTATTCGAAAAAACGTGCCCTTTGGGCAAGCAAACGCCGAAATGGAACACACACGCGTAGATATATATATATATATATATGACATATGAATATACATGTATATATATATATAGCTTGGGCCATTCTCAGGCTTGGTTAGCGGAGACGATTCACACTATGAGGCTCAAACACCTACGCATGTTTGGTATCTCATGTAATGTGTGTATACGCGTGCTAAAACAGGATGCATCATGGATGATGTGACAAATGTGTATATACTATCTTCATGTAAGAACACATCTATCTGGTTGTTGGTTTCAACATGTTTCAACCCATCCCAAAAGCATTGGTCAATTTGGATCGCCACCCCATTTCTAGGGTGGAACAAACATTGAAACATATTGAAACCATCAACCAGCTGTTCAAGATCCAATCAATAGGGCGGCTTCTCCTTCCTGAAATTCAAGGAATCCCGACCTTCGGAAAGCTCTTCAAAAAAAGGGGCGGAGTTTAAACCTCAAGCGGTTGATAATCAAATCATACGAAAACCATCTAGTTGTGATGTTAAAAAATGTTTAAATCTCAAATGTCTGCATAATTTTTGCCATCTCTGGGTGCCAACATCGCCCCCGGAACCTGATTCTCCAGCAGAAGCTTCACGATCTCCGGTGCATTGCCGTCTGCCGCGAACATCAACGCTGTCACGCCGTGGCCATCTGGGCGGTGAAATCAACATGGCGTTTGCGTCATCTGACCGACAAGTTGGGCCGCAAATTAAGCGCCTGGGAGAGTTTAACCGGTGGTTTAAAATGGCTAAAAAGTTGTTATTAACCAATGGTTAATAGTGGTTAATAATAGTTCTTAATAATGGTGAATGGTGCCAATATGTGCCAATTACTTTCATCCCGTTCATATGTTCTAGCCATTCTATGGTCCCAAAGGATGTGGAAATTCCCTACTAGACCATGGGGCACCGTTTGTGGGTGTTTACGATTGGGGGGAAGGGATTAATGTAACCAACAAAACATGACAATGTGACCTGCCCGAAATGTATGGAAGCGAACAGTATATTGAACCACCATGCAGCTGAATCTGAGGAGCTGATGCACAATGGACGCTATCAGCTTCCATGTATACACATCTGCAGTCATCTGCAGTTCATATCATTTCAGGCTAAAAACTGTATATCCCTATGTATATCCAATATATGTATATTATATCCATAATTTAATATAATAAAATAAAATACAATATGATAGAACGAAATACAATATCATATAATATGCTACAACATAATACAATATCATATAATATCATATAATATAAACAATACAAGATAAAACAAAAATATAATATAATATAAAACAATATAATATAATATAAAATAATATAATATAATATAATACAATATAGCATAATACGAGATATTAAAATAACATAACATAAACTATAATATAACAAGATACAATACAATAAAACAATAATAAAATATAAAATATAATACAATATAATAAGATAAAATAACATATAATATACTAAAAAAAATTGAATTTAATTCAAACAAATATAACATAGTAAAATATAATATCATATAATATAGTAATATATTAAAATATGATAAAATATAATATAATAAGATATTATAATATAATCTAATATAGTAAAATAATAATAATAATATAAATATATATATATACATATGTGTGCGTATGCATATGTATATGTAAATATATATATATATACATTATATAAAAAAAACAATGCAATTTAGTATAAAATAAAATATCGTATAATATGATATAATATAATGTAATATAATAATGTAGTATAAAATAATAAAATATTTCTTGATATAATGTAATATTTAACAAAATAATATAATTTAATATAATGTAGTATAATATTAATTTATGTAATGCAATATAATAGAATAAAAGACAGTACAATATAATATAATATAATATAATATAATATATATATATATGTGTATATGTATATATGTATGATATATATATATATACATTATAACTATATATATATATATGATTATATATGTATTGTAAATCCCCCTATGTTCTTGCCGCTTTGCACCCCATAGTTGCAAAACATCCCCATCCGCTTGGATCCCGGCTGGCAGCATTCACCGTGGCGCCCTGCTCCAAGAGTTTCCTGGCCTTCGCAGCGCAGAGCACGCTACGCCGCTCAGCTCCGACAGTTAAAGCCTTTCTCTAGTTGTATATCATATATGTATGGCTACAAATGGGTTATACATTCCATAAATGGGGTTATAACATGTTATATAACATGTTATAGGTGACGTATAACTGGTGAAGGGAGACAAATAGCAGAGGATTCTTTAACGATCTTGGACGTTTTTTCGACCGTGTCCGAAGGGAACTGCGCTGCAGAAAGGCGCTAGGAAAATTCACTGTTGACTTTTCAGAGATGAAGCGGGTTGAATTCACGTCGCAGCCATGATGCGTGACCAATTCAATACCTGCAAATTTCATTCCTACTTACATCTATTTGGAGGTTTCCGTGCACGAGGAGTACCCCTAAATCAATCTAAATCATCCAATATTAGTAAGATTTTCAATGATAAACCATCCAGCCATTGGGGATCCCCATGGAAAGCCCCTCCAAGGCATCCAAGGACGAGACCATCTTGCAGTTTCCCCACTGACAGGTCCACATGAGGCATGTCATGCCTGACCTGTGGCCCGCTCGAAAGTTTCTGAAAGTCGTCGAAGATCATTGGGCATTTGGGTTGAGTTTTGCCTTCACTTTTTTGGACTTGGAGGATCTTGCAGGAGGAATCGATGGGACCTCTTTCAGACTCTGAAATGCTACTGGGATGCTCAAGTGCTTGCTCCTAGTCACTTCAAAGTGATTCCAAGCTTGAATATGCCTGCCATGGTGTAGTTGCCACGATGTTTCTGTAATCTGGTGGTTTTGCATCATTTCCAAAGCCCTGCAACTACACAAAGACCTGCACAACCCACTGCAACTGCCTGTCTGGTTGGTTGACATTCGCCTCCAAGATGGCTCGGGTTTGTCCATTGGGATCGCCCACCAAATGGAAACATGGAAAACAGTGAAAACAACGATGAAAACAAACATATTCGAAGGCCTTCCTTCTTCGCTTCACTAGCGGCGTTACTGTAAACGAACAAATATTCTTGTGAGGATTAGATTCCTGCTACTAGCCCATTCTTCCATTCTTCTATAGCATGGTAAGAGTATATCATCCCAGCTGACCTATCATTGATTATCATACTGTGGCTTTGGCCACCAATCCAGGTTTGTTTTAACCTGGACTTGCTCAAGGGGCCTCACGCACAAAACAAACCCTAACATGTTTCTCAGTTATGTTGGATTTCCTATTGGGAACATTACAAAACTTCACATACCTAGTTCCATGGGTCTCTGGGTCCGGCCAACCACGATCCCAGCCTTCCCCATCTCTAGTATGTGCTGTACCTGGAGCCGGAGGCCCCATTTAGTATGCGAGCATGGGATAAAGGGGAACAAAAAAAACAAGAATTCATATGCATGGGGAACATTGCCAAAACGTGATTCGTTTTTGTGGGTAAGTGGGCTTGGTTCAGCCAGTTTCAAAAAGAAAAAACGCTACTGGATGTGCACTTTAGCACCCTGGGTTATTAATTAACCAATTCGATTTGTGGGATGCTCCTGGGTAAATTTGCGAGAATCTCGTGGGAGAATGTGGGGGATGTCACCAACTTGATGCAATATTTGGGCGTGTCCCAGAACGATGTAGTCGCCAAGTTCTGACAAGTCTTATAGGAAAAATGAGGTTTTAAACCAGTGTTTGGGGTCCACTATCTTCGGACAAAAACACGACCCCCTGTCTAACAATAACAAAATGTAGTACCTGAACTTTTCCTGACCCTTTCCCAGCATGTTTCCAATGTTTTTCCCTAGCCATCATTGTAGCTGTTACTTCTCTGTAGTTGTCACCAGGCCTCATCCCAGTTTCTTGTACTGGCAGCCACCACCAGGGCCATGGCGCAGTTTCTTGTGTTGGTTTTAAGCACCAAAGTTGTGGACAGATTGAGGGTTGGATGCGCATCCGACTTAGCAACTGAGTAAGAACCATCATCTTGTTTTCAGGCCAGTTATCTTGTTGAAGATCTATGGGTTGTATGGTGGGTTTTAAGCACGCTTTTTTGAAGTGGCTGTTCAAGCTGCAATTGGTTTGACCCCAGGGTGGGAATGGCGAGCAAGAAATAGCCGCAGCCGCCGGATTTGCACTGGCAACTGGGATTTGGCGTGGGAGTTCTTCCCCATTTCCATACCTTTTCCCATGAATTATCGCCCCTCAAGCAACATATCTAACATAGACACATAGACCCTGAGGATCATCGATGAAGGAAAGGCGGTGCTCGTTTTCCTGCAAACGACTACGGTGGAATCCAAGGTCCAAGCTGTTCGTGCCTCGGTGGAATCCGACCATGCCAGGTGACATGGCAGGTGACAAAAACTGAGAAAAAGCAGGATCAAAATGATCAAATCAAGGAAAATATGTGAAAAATTAAACATGTTCGCAGAATCTCTAGACAGAAATTTTAGTCACATTACATCATATTGACCCAGAACCAGAGTGGCAGTCCTGTTGGTTCAACCCAACACCGGGGCCCGGGACATAGCAAATGCCATCGGTAAGCGGCCTAGATATCTCTCGGGTGGGGGTGTGGAATCTTCGCTTCGATCATCCCATGAATAGGTTGGGCACGGTTGGGCTGGGCAACTCGACTGATGAGATGATCCCTCCAAGTGCTGCATCCGCACCATCAATGGCTTCTATTCTCAGTCGATTGTTACGGTAGCTGCCCTTTGTATACATAACTTCATTCGATTGTGTTGTTCATATCCATCACACACCACAAGCCTGAGGTGGAACCCCAAAGAAGACGTACCTGGTATGGCTAGTATGGTGAAGTATTAAAAATGCTTGTTTTAGGCCTAGGCGGTCATGGCGTTTTTGCGGGGTTCCAACGATGGGCAAATCCTTGTCTTGTTCGGTGTCATTCAAATGTCCGATATTTTGTCTCCAACTTTTCTCGATCAAATCCCTCCTGTAGATCATTCATTGGTCAGCATCCCTGATGTTTGATAGCCACCCTCTGCTAATTTTACATAGCTATGGAAATCAGCATTTTGAATAGGTACATCATGGAAATAAATGTTCAATTTCCAGTTCGCAAACTGTTATTTACATTATATCCATCTATATACATCTACTATGATGTAGATGGATCTACCAGAAGGTAACTACTACTATATCCATCTATATCCCAGTATATCTCCTAGTATATCCCCGGTTTGGATGGTTCAAAATTTGCCACTTACAGCGCCTCAAAGGTGGCATTGGTAGTAGCCAATCGATGCCTGACGTTCTATCGTGCATTTCCATTCAAAAAAACGGTGGTTTGACGAGAGGCAAAAGGTGAGTTCAGCAAAAATACAGGTAAACAATGGTAAACCTTGGTGAAGAGACGTTAAAATTGGTTAACAAGATGATTATCACCGATTTTTTCCCAGAACAAGGTGGTAATTTTAATATGGAGTTTGGTGTTTTTACAGCATTTTTAATAATGATCACTCAAATATGGCTTTTTTTACAAAGGTGGGGACATCAGCCGGCAATGATCAACTGTGAGTATCCTCTCATCTAAGCTGCTACTGGGCCTACAGCTGGCCATGTTCCCTTTGAATGCAACGAACGCACGCAAGCTCGAACGCACGTCCCAGGAACCAATGACAACCAAAAGGTGTTCATTCCCAACTGATTGCCGAATGACCAAATCTTGAAATATGTTCAATGTTGGTTCTAGTCCAAGTCTTGTTGATAAAGAAAGATGAAGGTGTGCAGGCTTACCTCAAACATGAAGTTGTCATGCCTGGGCTCCCAAAGACTTGCGCCATGTTAGAGAGTTTGCTGCCCTGATCAAAGGGGTTCGGCCTCATGCAGCATGGCCAAGGACATGAAAGGTTGGGTTCAACACCTCCCACTCCCAAACCGGCGCTTCTCTTTTGAGGATAAAGTTATGGCCATGGCTTGCCATGGCTATTAGTTATAACTGGTTATTTCTATGGGATTATACATTCTATTTCTATGGGGTTATAAGTATATGATATCAACTGGTAAAGGGCCAGCACTGTATGGTTCAAAATAGACTGGTTCGCTTCACCACCCTTTTTTTTCGCTCTGCGTCAGGCCATCCATGGAATCTCTTGGGCACAAAACAAGCTGGCAAATAAATGTCTACCCCATAAGATATTAGGTATTCCTAGGTTTGTGGTGAATATCATTCAGCTGGAATTGGGACGACCAGTGTGACCAGTGGGTTTGACCAGCGATCTGCTGATTGGCTTCGTCAAAGAGCCATCTGGGCACCTCAAATATACACCGGCCAAGATAAACAGTCACAATACGATGGACTATTCCAGTGATAGCCTTGGTGAACAAAAACCAAAAAACAAAACGTGCAAATAACTGCTGAATGATGTAACATGTCCACGTTACGTGCGCCCAGGTCGTGGAGCAATTGTTTTCATTCTACGCGATGATATGCAAAAGAACGCTCTCAAACGTTTCGATTTTTCACGCCATAATTTGAAGTATAAAGAGTCAGACTTCTACGGCGCCAATTTTCAATAGCTTGGATAGCTCCAGTGTGTTCACCCGCTGGGGCGATCACATATTGTCGTAGTAGGTCTCGATCATCGTGACATTTTCGAGCATGTTCGGCAACTTGGACGGGACATGCAAACAGTGTAGATCCGCATCATTAACCCCATGAACATGCTATGCCATGCACCGTTTCTATGATACTTATGAACATGTTACAAAAAAATGATGACTAATCATCTATACCTACATTATCATTCACCACTCAGTGTAGAACTGTGCCCATCTACACCC